GACACGGCGAGACACAGGGCCGCGCCTGACGACACGGCGAGACACAGGGCCGCGCCTGACGACACGGCGAGACACAGGGCCGTGCCTGACGACACAACGAGACACAGGGCCGCGCCTGACGACGCGGCGAGACACAGGGCCGTGCCTGACGACACAAGGAGACAGAGCCGCGCCTGACGACACAACGAGACACAGAGCCGTGCCTGACGACACGGCGAGACACAGGGCCGTGCCTGACGACACAAGGAGACACAGGGCCGTGCCTGACGACACAAGGAGACACAGGGCCGTGCCTGACGACACAAGGAGACACAGGGCCGTGCCTGACGACACGGCGAGACACAGGGCCGTGCCTGACGACACGGCGAGACACAGGGCCGTGCCTGACGACACGGCGAGACACAGAGCTTTTCCTAATGATCCAATGAGACACAGAGCTGCCTGGTGATACAATGAGACACAGAGCTTATTAGGTTGGCTTAGGTTGGGAGTCAGGGAAGACTACCTGGCAGAGATGGTGGCTGAGTTGAGCCTGAAATGTAAAGAGGAGTTTTCCCAGGTAAGCAGTGGGAGGAGGAAAGGAAGTAAGGAAAGAGGGATGCGTTCCAGGCAGAGAAAAGAACATGAAGTGGGCTGAGGCTGGGACACTGCATATTTAAAGAGCTCCCAAGCAAGGGGTTCTGATGCCTAGCCAGGTTCAGGAACCTGCCACGCATAAGAAGGGGCTTCTCGGAGCTTCACATAGAAGGTAGAGGAGGTTGATGGACAGACAGAACACTTTGGTGGCAGAAGGTGGGGAGGATCTGAGCGAGCCAATGCCAGAGACAAAGAAACCAGTTCAGGAGACAGTGCAGTAATTTAAGACACAGATGATGCAACGGTGGATAATATAAATGGAGACAAGAGACAGCATGTAAGACATAGTTAAAGAAGTGAAATTCAGCAGGGCTTACTGCTTACAACACTTCAGGACATTAGAGTTTTCTGGACTTACTTCCCTTTGAAAAAAGAATAAGTTACAAACATTTCAGCCTTTCAACTCATGATCCAGAAGATGTAATGCTTCTAGTTTCTCTGTAATAATTTATCAGATAAAAGTTTCATACTCATGGCCCCTGGATTCTCTATCAGCCCAGAACTAAAACAATTTCCAAGGCCAACTCTTCAGACAGGGATTGGACTGGACTGTGGGACAAAGTGATACTCGTGAGGAATGTGCCTCTTAGCTCAAGTAGATACAAGAGACTAAACGGGCAGCTTCTGTCCGGAGGTGAGATGGGAAGGCAGAGAGGGTTAGGAGCTGGTTGAATGGACATGGGAAATCAGGGGTGGAAAGGAGGAGTGTGCTGTCACAGTATGGGGAGAGCAATTAGAGTCACATAACAAGGTATGTACAGATTTTTGCATGGGAAAAAAGAAAATTCAAAAAGAAAAAAAAAAGTTTCATACTCAGCCATACAGAGAAGTGAAGTCCTGATACATGCTACAACACGGACGAACCTTGAAAACATCATACAGAGCGAAATAATCAATCACAAAAAGACAACTATTGTATAATTCCACTTCTATGTAATAGGCAAATGTACAGAGACCAAAGCTGATGAGTGGTTACCAGGCGTGGGAGGGAGAAGGAGCGGCGGAGTCATTGCTTAGGGGGCACTGAGTTTCTGTTAATGGTGGTGAAAGAATTTGGAAAAGGACAGCGGTGACGGCTGCCCAACATGATGAAAGTAATCAACGTCACTGAACTGCACATGTAAAATTTGTCGGACTGCCAAATGTTTTCTTATAGATATTTTTTACCACAATAACAAAAAATTTTTTTAAATTAATATATCAATTTGCTGAATTTTACTTTTGTCCTAGGATTCAGTACATGTTGGGAAACTATACAGCAATTGTTTGTTCAAGCTCTACATAACAGCTAACTTTAACGACACGATAGTTCAAATACTTAAAGAACAACTAATTACACAGTCTACACTGTAAGACAGTAGAACCCTAGTACGTCCATGGAATCAGGCAACAAAGGGACCCACGTAACAGAGCGTGTTACACGGGGAAGGGTTTGGCCCTCAGTACGATCAAACATCTGTGGTACGAGCAAGGCATTTCAGACTAGGGCTTTACTATGTGACATACAGACAGACGTTGGTGCATCCATCTCCATGTCTCCTATGTTGTTTGCTAACCACTTCAGACAACGTGTGCTAACAGGCTGTGCGGCCACCTACGCATCCCACATACCTGCCGTCTGCCCTTCCGTCCTTTTTCTTGTTCTGATCTGTCTGCCTGGCTGCAAAATTTTTCATACCTTCATGGGGTCAGAGTGGAGAGCTCATAATTACTAATATACAAAAATTCTCATTTTCTTCGTTTTTAGCTATTGGTAGAAAAGCATTTCAAAATATTACCTAAATATATTTGAGTATATTTTTAAAGGGGGAAAAAAAGCCATTGCTTTGAATGGTATTTAAAAAAAAAAAAAAAAAACCCAAACCTGTTGCCATCGATTCCGACTCAGAGAGACCCTATAGGACAGAGTAGAACTGCCCCATAGGGTTTCGAGGAGCGACTGGTGGATTTAAACTGCCGACCTTACTGGTTAGCAGCCGTAGCTGGCCATAGCTCTTAACCACTGTGCCACCAGGGCTCCGTTTGAATGGTACAGCCACCATTAATCCCATCAGCAGCTCCTCGGGACAAAAACCTGTCGACCTGTCCTGCAAAGATTACAGCCTAGGAAACCCTGTGGGGCAGTTCTGCTCTGTCGCACGGGGTTGCTGTCAGTCAGAATCATCTCAACAGCACCCAACAACAATGACGTTTTTTTAAGCATCCACTGAATTTTTTTTTTTTTTTTTTTTGGTCTATTTTGAACTCAAGGTAGGCATTAGAAAATTTATTTTTTTTGAAAAAAAAAATTTAAACCTTTAAATAGGTAATACACTTACATGGTTAAAAAAAATCAAAAGGATATTAAAACTGGTACTCGGTAGAAGTCCTCACTCTCAGCTCCTGCCTGCCCCCACATCACCCCCAACCAAGTAGCACATTGTAAGCTTTTCAGATATCCTTCCAGAATCTTTTTATGCGAATCTAAATATATGCTCTTATTTCTGCCTCCTTTGTAACAAAAGATAGCGTACTACATGCGCCCACATGCACTTGTTTTTTTCACTTAACAATATATCTTGGGGATCTTTCCATATAAGGACACGGTATTCTATTGGATGACAGTATCAGAACTTATTTAACCCACTGAAACTTCCAAAACCACAAGGAGGAACACAGTTGTGTTGCTGTGACAAGTAAAGGAAGTGACAGTAGGAGTCTGACAGTGAGGGTCCTGTGCTACTAAAGAGGAAAGTTTCTCTCTCCATCTCAGCTGACTGTAAAGGCAAGAGATGCTACAGTTTGCTGCAGAGGACGTGGAATGTGAGAAGTGGTGGCACTTATCGAAGCAATACCTCCACATCAGCACATTTACCTTGATGTTCTTTTGTTCTTAGAACACGGCCATTATGTGAAACGGGGGATTGTGCAAAACCATGTTTTCAAGTCCAAAGATATATACATGTGCCCAGTGATATTTGCTGTAGCACTAGGTGCCGTAGCAAAAGGCTGGAAATGACTTCCGCTCCATCAGTAAGAAGCTGGTTAAATACATGATGGTATGTCTGCACAACGCAATACTATGCAGCTGTTAGCACATCTAAACTGTAACTATGTAAAAGAAAAAAACAGTTCTGATAGGTTCGATAATGTGGATGAACCTCAAAAACATTACGTTAAGTGAAAGAAGCCAGACATACAAGACCACATATTATACACTCCTACTTCTGTGAAATGTTCAGAATAGGCAAATCCATAGAGACCAAATTTAGATTAGAGACTACCAGGGGCGGAGGGGAGGGAATGATGGGGAGTTGCTGCTTAAAGAGCACAGAGTTTCTGTCTGGGGGGAGTTGTTGCTTAAAGAGCACAGAACTTCTGTCTGGGGGGAGTTGTTGCTTAAAGAGCACAGAGTTTCTGTCTGGGGGGAGCTGTTGCTTAAAGAGCACAGAGTTTCTCTCTGGGGGGAGTTGCTGCTTAAAGAGCACAGAATTTCTGTCTGGGGGGAGTTGTTGCTTAAAGAGTACAGAGTATCTGTCTGGGGGGAGTTGTTGCTTAAAGAGTACAGAGTTTCTGTCTGGGGGGAGTTGTTGCTTAAAGAGTACAGAGTTTCTGTCTGGGGGGAGTTGTTGCTTAAAGAGTACAGAGTTTCTGTTTGGGGGGATGAAAAGCTTTGGAAACAAACAGTGGCAATGGTTTTACAACATTGAGAATATAAGTAATGCCACTGAGCTGTACGCTTCAAAATGATTAAGATGGCAAATTTTTGGTTACATATACTTTACCACAATAAAAAAAAAAGAGTGGAAAAAAACCCCTGCCAAGGTATAGAATAGTATAAATTGTGTGTTATGACCGCACTTTTTTAAACAAGAGGGAATACATGCTTCCATAGGCAGACGTTAGCAGGCTCCTCTGGAAGGTGAGCTGGAAATCTTAAACTTTCACTGAAAATCTGCTCTTTTTCTATAAATTCATGAGTCTTTCCACTCTGTTTTTTTTTAAGATTGAGTCACAGGAATCAATACATGGAAATAAGTGTGTTTACATTTTACCTTCTCCCCAAGGACTGAAGGCAGGTTACAAAGATGCAAGCAGTCAAACAAGACAAAATAAATCTTAATTAAGTAAAATAGTCCAACCTGAAAACTTTTAAAATAAGAAACTAACTCAAAGGTAAATTAGGTTTAAGAGAGCAAGATGGTCTCAGGCGCGAAGTCCAGCCTGCAGATCACATGCCCGAATGCTTAGAATCAAACAGCTAAATGTTTTACTTGGATGTTCCGATGGTCAAAGACTTTACTTGCCTGATGCATTATGGGCCAGAGAAGAGTTGGCATAAATTTCCACTTGAATGAGTAAATGTGCTGAACAGGATGCATTGTGAGATGCTGAAACTAGGAGAGTCTGCAGGAGACATGGAGACGCTAAGAAGGGATCCTTCTCATTAGAGGAACAGCGTTCCACATCCCTCTTCAACCTCACTGTCACTTCCGACATGTTCTGAAAAGGAAACAGTGCTATACTTTTAGAGTGACTCAGACAGCATCTATAATAATAAGAACCGAAAAATTAGAGGAACCAAAGCAGACAAAAGAAAAGCACAACAAAGGCACACATTTAGCCTTAGTTTGTTTTATAAACGGGGAATTAACGTACAAAAATGAAATAATTCTGTTCATTTCCACACTGTAATCCTATGATAAAGGAGCCCTGGTAGCTCAGTGGTTAAGCACTCGGCTGCTAACTGAAAGGTCGATGGTTCAAACCCACCAGCTGCTCCACGCAGAAAAGACCTGGGGATCTGCTCCCATAAAGATTACAAAATAATCCATTTCCCAGGGAGAAAGATGTACCAGTCTGTTTCCAGAAAGAATTTACAGCCTTGATAACCCTATGGGGCAGTTCCACTCTGTTCTAGAGGGCCACTATGAGTCGAAATCGACTTGACAGCAGTGGGCTTGGAATCTTATGGAAGCACACTGCCACATCTGTCCCCTGCAGAGCGACTGGTGAGTTTGAACTGCCGACTTTTTGTTAGCAGCCAGGCGCTTTAACCATTGCACCGCCAAGGCTCTTCCGTAAAGATTACAGCCCAGGAAATCCTATGACGCAGTTCTACTCTGTGTTATAGGGTTGCTATGAGTCTGATTGCACTCGACAGCACCCAACAACAAAGAAGTCTGGCTTCTAATCCTCAGTTTAACATAGAAGCAAGTAACTTTTGAATACTTACAGAAAGGTGAACACAGGTCTGATTAATTAACTCAGTTTGTCAAGCTCCATTCGAATTTATCATCTTACCAGCAGAAGATTAAATACGCAGAAAAGTCAATGAAGACTGTCCTCAATTTATCTCATTACAATGACTTTGGACAAGTCGGCTAAAATGTTCCTTCCTCAATGCACGAGTTGGTCTTTCTCATCCTTGTATCTCCAGAATTGATGCCTTGCACTTAGTAGGCACTCAGTAAACACTTATTAAATGGAAGGCATTTAATCTCTCCACACTTAAGGGTCCTTCAATGCAAGCACAGAGTTGGACAAAACCAGTGGTTATGAAACTCTTTGAGCCACAGACACATTTGATAATCTGACAGAAGCCGGGAGATACATGCATAATTTTACAATTTCAGAAGGCTCACAGACTCCTCAGAATTTATCTACACCCATTGCCATCGAGTTCATGCCAACTCACAGCAACCCTACAGGACAGAGTAGAACTGCCCCATAGGGTTTCCAAGGCTGTAATCTTTACAGAAGCAGATTGTCACATCTTTCTCACAGAGGGGCTGGTGGGTTCAAACCCCAGACCTTTTGGTTAGCAGCCAAGGGCTTAACCACTATGACACCAGGTTAGTGGTTTGAACCCAACCAGAAACACTATAGAAGAAAGGCCGGGAGAGCTGTAACTTGTCTAAGGACCCTAACTCTAGGTTAAGAAACTCTGGACTGGTTGTGCATCTAACAGATCCAACAGTCTACAATCTCACGACAGTTCTACCAGTAACCAGGTATGTTCCAGGCAATTCCAACTCATGGTGCCCCCATGTGTGTCTGAGTAGAACTACACTCCATAGGGTTTTCGATGGCTATTTTTTTGGAAGTAGATGGCCAAGCCTTTCTTCCCTGGAACCTCTGGGTAGCCTTAAACCTCCAACATTCCTGTTAGCAGCATGTTAACCATTTGCACCACCTAGGGGCTCCATACTAGCTCTAAACATTGAGAAAGCTATACCTTGCCAGGAAACCCTGGTGGCATAGAGGTTAAGAACTATGGCTGCTAACCAAAAGGTCAGTAGTTTGAATCCACCAGGCGCTCCTTGGAAACCTTATAGGGCAGTTCTTCTCCGTCTTCTAGGGTCACTATGAATTGGAATCCACTTGACAGAAATGGGTTTTTTTAAAAATACCTTGCCAAATGAAGAGATAAAGTACTGCAGAAACACCAAATGTGTACCTATCCAGATGCTACAGGAAAGTTCTACCTCTGGTCTTACCACACCAGGAGTCACAGTCAAAATCCAGTCTTCTGTCTCATTGCTGGGCACTGTGCAAGTCGGAACTGGCAATATTCCTAAGGGAGAGAAGCTGTGTGATCTTTGGGCAGGTGACAACCTCTCTGAACTTCAGTTTCTGCATTTGCCAAATAGGGCTAAAAGCAGATACTATTGTTCTCATTAGGAAAACGGAATGATACCTATGAAGCATACAGGGAGAGCTCAAAAAATGCTAGCTATTATTATTTCAAGCTTTCTTTTACCAAACCTACCGGGGGTCCTCTTTGGCATTCAGGAGCGGCCCCTTCCCCATCTCTACTTTGCAGGGGACAGAGGCAGGAAGCGCAAAGGATGCCACGTCGCCACGGCTCCTAGGGAAACCCGAATCTGGCCCACCCCCACCCTCACCACATGAAGGGATGGACTCTTAACCTGTCTCGTTCTGCAGCAGTGCCAGCGACACGGTCACATCCTCGGTGCGTCCAACTAGAGCTGCGCTGACTGCAGGGCCGGACATGCGGATGACAGGAGGGATGAAAACTAGACGGGAGGACGGACAGGGACGGATTAGTAGTTGAGGAGTCACTGCCTAAGCTGTACGTGGTGCCTTTTTTGGCGGCCATGTCTTCCAGGGGCTCCCCGAGGAGACCAAGTTTGGCCCTTTACCCCCCTCGTTCCTCCGCCCCCGCCCCTGCAGGTCCCTGCCGGCTCTACACACCCAGGTCCCCCCACAGCGGCTTCAGCATGCCCTGCAGAAGGAGCCCCAAGAGGACAGAGGCCGGCGGCGGAAGGCCCATGCCTTGGGCCTCGCGGGTGTCTCCCGCCAGAACCGCGGCCGCCTTAGAAAGCCTGACCGCCGGGGATGCGAAACCGCGGCGTCCGCTGTCCCGCCGCCGCCATCTTGTCAAGCGAATGCCCGGAGCTATGGCAACCGCCAATCGGCCGCCGGCTCGGCGGAGCCGCGCGCTGCGATTGGACCAAAGGCCAAATAGCCCAGCCCCCGCGCCTGCGCACTTCGAGCCCGCCCACGTGGCCTGCAAGCCCTTTTTGATGCTTAACTCTAAATGATTGTAGGACTGCAAGGAGAACGCATCCAGTTTTTTCTTTTCCCCGCCCTGGGGTTAATTCAGCCACGCTGCAAGAGGAAGCCTACAGGCACTGGCTCCTATACAAAGGGTAGGATTTGCTACTTGATAAACTCCACATTTACGGGGAATTTGCGGGAAACAGGTAGGTCGTGAGGCTGTAGCGCTGTAATTGTCCAGGGCTGCTGGATGGTTTTTATCATCATTCCCTCAGTGTTTTGAAGTTTTCTAAGAGCTTTTGAAGAGCCCTCAGCGCTCCGAAAGGTAGAGCTAATCAAAAACACAAAGTTTTGCCCCGTTACAGGGTAGATAACAAAAGCATCAAGATTCTGCCTTGAAAAAAATTGTCTTAGGACAATAGCCACGAAACATCTCTAGGGTTATTATAGTTCTGCGACCGAGAGTGCGGGCTTGGAGGTCATACTGCCTGGTCTGCGGTTGGGCTCCCCTCCACCCCCAACTAATATTCTCTAGCTGTTGAGTGACTTTGGGTTAGAATGGTGTATTTTCCAACTGAAAAAAAAATAGGTGGCAGTGCCAGGGACAAGCCTGGTGTGTTCAAGGAGCAGCAAGGCCAGTGGGACTGGAAGTGATGAAACAAGCAGCAGTAGGAGAGGAAGGTGGGGAGGGAGCCAAGGATGAGATCATGAAGGGTCTTAAGGCCAGGGTAATCCAAAGACCAAACTAGGTGCCACCATGGCAACCCCATGTGTGTCAGAGTAAAACTGTGCTCCATAAGGTTTTTAAGGGCTGATCTTTTGTAAGCAGATCACCAGGACTTTCTTCCAAGGCACCTTTCGTTATTGTTCTTGTTAGGTGCTGCTGAGTCAGTTCCGACTCACAGCAACCCTCTATGTACAACAGAACGAAACATTGCCTGGTCCTGTGCCATCCTCACAATTGTTGCTATGTTTGAGCCCATTATTGCAGCCACTGTGCACCAAACTGCCAATCTGTTGGTTAGTAGCTCAGTGCTTAACCATTTATGCCATCCAGGGACTCCAAGGTCAGGGTACAGGGTTCCCCTTTCTTCCTTTTGGTTGCAATAAGCTATTTACCCAGAAGGCACCAGTGGTGAAATTACTCTGGCTCTCCATGGCATCACATTCAAAAGGAAGTTATCAATAAGAAAAACAAAAAGATATTTTTAAATACAAGCATATTATTAAAAATCAACTATCAGAGAGATTTTTTTCTTAAAGTTCTTTTGTGGTCATTTCTATTAATGTAAAATTTGAATTCAACTATCAATGCAAAGTCTTGATTTTTAAATACAGTGCTTCTTATAAGGAGGCCTGGTGGCACAGTGGTTAAGCGCTCAGCTGCTAACTGAAAAGTTGGAGGTTCAAACCCACCAGCCCATCTGCAGGAAAAAAATGTATCAATCTGCTTCCATAAGGATTTAGAGCCTTCGAAATTCTGTAGGGCAGTTCTACTCTGTCCTATAGGGATGTTATGAGCCAGAATCGACTCAACAGCAGTGGAATGGGTACTTCTTATATTACAATATTGTCCTTCATAAAATGATACTCGTGAAGAGTATGCTTCTTAGCTCAAGTAGATACATGAGACTAAATGGGCAGCTCCTGTCTGGAGGCGAGATGAGAAGGCAGAGAGGGTCAGGAGCTGGTTGAATGGATACGGGAAATCAGGGGTGGAAAGGAGGAGTGTGCTGTCACTTAACAATGTGTGTATAAATTTTTGCATGAGAGACTAACTTGAATTGTAAACTTTCACTTAAAGCACAATAAAAAAAAAATGCTTAAAAATAAATAAAACATTGTCCTTGATGTGTTTCTTCCCCTCTGCGTGACTGCTGGATACATTCCCTGCAATCTTTGAGGATTACAAACACTCTTACAAATCATGTTTGGATTATTTGAAATAAAATAACCTTAAAAAAAAGGGCAACAGAGCAGGAATCTTTTTGTAGAAAAAGCCAGAAGGACTGTCTTTAGAACTGCTGGCTGAATAGTTTGTAACTATCTGTTTACTTGGTAAGAGAATAATTTCATGGCTTTGAAATGAACTGTTATGGGATAAGAAAGATCCCCAGTTTTCTGGCATCAAAACATACATTACACCTTAAAACCAACATGCTTTATCCAATGAAAATACCAAGTAATTGAAATTTTGCTAACAGATTTCTTGCTCCCAACATAAAATTATAAGCAAACATCAAATCTTTGGTTTAATACTCAAGTACTCAGAAATTGTATATTGAATACTTCATGGTGTTGTTGTGGGTTGTTGAGTCAATTCCAAATCATAGTGACCCTACAGTACAAAGTGGAACTGCCCCATAGGGTTTTCTAGGCTGTAAGCTTTACAGAACAGGTTGCCAGGTCTTTCTTCTGCGGAGGAGCTCATGGGTTCGAACTGCCGACCTTTCGGTTAGCAGCCTAGTGGTAAACCACTGTGCCGTCGGGGCTCCTGACATACTGCATACCAACCTGTTGTTGTTTAATATTTGTAACAGTATTTTCATCTGTAATTTTGGCAAGATTTGAAATTCAAGTTCTTCAGAGTTGAACGAAAACTGCCTGGTGTTTGACTAACTCAGGTTAAAAACTACACACTTAAGAGGAGTTGAATGAGCATGAGACAAAAATTACAAAAATTGAAATTATTATAAAAACTTTATAACATAAACCACAAATACAAGTTAAAATAAAAACAGAACAAGTATATAAAACATTTCAAATGAAAAATAGAGAAAACCTTATCAGCTTGCTTCAAGTTATTCATCTTTTAGATATATGCTTTACTTCACATGCAGACTTACAGTACTGATTTCGATTATGTTTAATTAGGCTATAAAATACCAAATATTATTTTTAAAAGGCAACATATGCAAACAGATTCTCAAACTCAAGGATTCACCAATACCTGCAAAATGATCCTCAAAATCTTTGGGCATTTGTTAATAAAACCGCAAATCCAGAATATAAAATCTACTGGAAATATCTAACCAAACACCCAATTACTTAAATTAAACTCAGCTTCAGAGAGTCTATAAAGAGAAAATTCAATCTTATTTACTTACAAGGTTTCATACGCAAATGGGCTTTACAATATACTTTATCAACAAACTCAAGCAGCTGCTAGTCCTTAAAGCTCCCTGCACCATGCTGGAACTCAAAAGGACGTTTAACAACTTCATGGTTTCATAGAAAAATAATTTTTGTATTGTTGAAATTAAAAATAATTTTTCTTTTAAACTGGTAGAAGTTTTCACTATTGAGTTCAAAGCTTCTAGATAAACAGTTCTCCAATATGAATGTGTTTTTTTTTTATTTAAAAAGAAAAGAATTCTACCTGGGACCACACTTAATTTTTAAGAGTCCATTCTCCCAAGAAATTCCCTCCCAGAACTCTGCTATCAGCTTTCACAAATAAGCTCTTAACACAACTGTTTCTGAAGAAAAGTCTTCTAACAGACCACTGTGCTCACTCTTCTTGCTCACTGAAAACCAGATTCTGTAGTTACTCAGTGACAAACCAGTATCACTCCTTGGATGACCTTGTCCAAACATGTACTGACATCAGGCAAAAGACAAAGTATCTGCTAATACCTGACAACTGAGATGAGGAAGTCTCAATGTAGACAGTAAGGATCTCATTTACATGATGACTGCTGAAGTTGACTGGTGGTTAAGGAAGAAGTACTGTCTTGATTAATGCCATTAGCCCACGAGTCACCATGTGTACATTTTTTCCCAAAACTGTGTTTAAATTTCACATATTAAACATATCACAGTAAGGACCTAGACTTAGTTAATCTGCTCTAAACCTATAATCAGTCATAACAGTCGGACTCTGACAAATGATCATCCCATTAAAAACAAAAGTCACAAATTTGTGCTTTCTCCCCCTTTCTGGACAAAATCCAGCCAGAAGATAAAAAATATATTCCATAGAATGACTTCCCTAAACAAATCAGTCCCCCAGAAGTGCAAGATGAGAATGCTGTTTCGCAAATATTTCCTGTGGGAAACCAATACCTAAATTAAAAATAACCTACATATCTGCATGTTTCCAGACCCTTTCCAGCAAAGATTCTGCCATACAGTTTCTACTACTAGCTCTGAAAGGTGGGGAGAATACTTTATTCTCAAGCAGATACTTTCAGTTTCTTTTTCTTGGCCTTCAGCACAGGAGGCAGAGAAATCTTAAAGGCTGTCCTGAAACGAGAGGGAAAAACATTTTTTAACGCTCTGATCTCTGAACAGTGAGCCACCCCCGCGGCCTCAAAGATACTCACTCGCATGTAGTACAGATAGGGCTGAAGTTGCAGAATACTGTGAATTCAGAGGGGGGAGAAGCAGGGTCATTTAAAAACCAAATAGCTGAGATATTCACTGCCCTCCCCCACAACACAGTAAGGACAGAACGAAACAGGTCCCTGACCGTACTTGACAAGCACACAGAACAGACGTAGCCGATCTCGATGAGGTTCCGATGACAGAAACAGGCAGCCCTATAGTCAACGTGAATTGGGGGCGGGAGGATTAGCTGAGATCTCTGGTCTTGATCAGGAAGGAAAACCCACTGTGGGAAAAAGCAAGACACTTTTATTTAAAATAAAGGGAAAAATAACCAGGAGTCCAAAAAAAAAGTGGCACGTTGCCATTGAGTTAATTCCAACTCATAGTGACCCTACAGGACGGAGCAGAACTGCCCCACAGGGTTTTCCAGACTAATGTTTATGAGAGCAGATCGCCAGGTCTTTTCTCCAGCGAAGCAGCTGGTGAGTTTAAACCGCCAGCCTTTAGGATAGCAGCCAAATGCTTAACCACTGCACCACCAGGACCCCTTAACCAGGAGTCAGCTAACACGAAGAGGATACTACTAAATTAGGATTTTCCTTAAAAATCTGTTGAGAAGGGCACTTTTTATTCATTTCCTAATTATTGAGTAGGAGCCCTGGGAGGTGCAACTGGTTACGTGCTTGACCCCTAATTAAGAGGTTGATAGTTCCAGCCCACCTGGAGGCACCTGAGAAGACGGGCCTGGTGATCTGCTTCTGAAAGGTCCCAGCCTTGAAAACCCTAAGAAGCACAGTTCCATGGGGCACATATGGGGTCGCCATGAGTCAGAATCGACTTGACAGCATCTGGCTTTTTTTTTTTTTTGGTTTAATTATTGAGCACCTACCACACACAGGCACTGATGCGTGAACAGTCGTACGACATTCTGCATTTGGTTTACAGGGTTCGGAGACTACCTGAAGCCCCTCCTCCTCTGCCTTAAAACTCCTAAGCCACCATTTCTTGCTGCCCCTCAGTTACTTGCATTAGCCATCTTGCTCCCATCCACTCCACAGGACACAGGGGTCTTCCTCCCCCCAGGTGTTAGGTCCACTGTTCACGTGTCCTTACCAGCAAATACTGCAGAAGGGAGGGCATCTGAGGCACCTTCAAGTATAGTCCCCCTGTGATGTCACAAGCCTGCAAGACACACAAAGGGCTCACTTCCACACAAGCAGGCACTTAGCTGTTCCAGGTGGATGCAATTCTCACCAGTAATTCTTTAGGTCTTCCAAAGGAGAGGAGGGTATGACATGGTGTATTAACAGGGAACTGTCTCTGCACAAACCACAGCCTAATCTACCCTGTGACTGGGAGAACTAGATGGTGCCTGCCTGGCTACTACTACTTACCATTCTGATCAGGGCCACAACAGAAGGATCCTGACAGAGCAGGAGAAAAACGTGGAACTGAAGCTCAAATTCCACCCCCGCCACCAAAAAAAAAAAAGACTTACTTGACTAGTTGAGAGTAGAGGACTCCCTGAGACTATTACCCTGAGATACTCTTTAAACCTTGAAACAAAAGTAGCCCCTGAGGTCACCTTTTAGCTAAAAAATAGACTGGCTTCACAAAATAAGTATCACCCGTGAGTATTGTGCTCCTTTAAAAAAAATCATCTATATGAGTCAAACGGTCAACAATTACTTTAAAACAACGATGAGAATGTAAGGGGGCAGAGACACTAAATTCATGGAAACCGAACAACTAGAACAGAAATAATGAGAATGTTCACACATTGTGACAATTATAACCAATGTCAGTGAACAATGTGTGTAGAGATCGTTGAGTGGGAACCTAAACTGCTGTGTAAACCTTCACCAAAAACATAATAAAATATTATTTTTAAAAAGGAGAGAGAGAAAGAACTGTCTCCCGGAGTGAGTGAGGGCCAGACACTTCCAGCTACCTCCCAAGATATTCAAGTATCTTACTTGTCCCCCTTGGCCAACACCCTTTGACTGTTTGGAGTTTGTAGTCTGGGTCTGTCTGTGCTCTTTCTCTTGCATGATTGCTACCAACAAATTTTTATTGCTGTCACGTTTACTCACTTTCATTATATATTTTTAATAACAGCTTTGTTGAGATATAATTCACATGCCATAAAATTCAGTGTTCAACTCAATGGTTATTACAATATTCACACCTATGCAACCATTACCACTAATTCCAGAACATACTCATCACCCAGAAAGAAACCTCGTATCCATCACCAGTCACCCCCTACTCGCATCCCCCGCCCCTGGCAACCACTCCTCTACTTTCTGTCCTATAGGTCTGCCTGTTATGGCATTTCGTATAAACGGAATCATACAATACGTGGTCTTTTGTGTCTAGCTTCTTTCACTAAGCATGTTTTTGGGGTTCATTCATGCTGTAGCATGTATCAGTACCTCATAACTTTTTTAAAAAATTAGGTAAGATTTACATAACATAAAATTCACTGTTTGAAAGAGTACAGTTCAGCAGTTTACAGAACATTCACTATATTGTTCAACCATCACCACAATCTAATTCTAGAACATTTCCTTCATGCCCAAAAGGAAACCCCATACCTATTAGTGGTCAGTCCTATTTCCTTCTCCCCACTCCCAGCAACCACTGCTCTGCTTTCTGTCTCTCTGCATTTGCCTATTCTGGACATTTCATGTAAATGGATCACACACTCTGTGGCCTTCTGTGCCTGGCTTCTCCCGCTTAGCATCGTGTCTTCTAGGTTCAGCCATGTTGGAGCATGTATCAGAACTTCATTACTATATATGGCTGAATAATATTCCATTGTATGGAGACACTACATTTTATTTATCCATCTGTAAACAGACATTTGGATTATTTCCACTTTTTAGCTATTATGAATAATGCTGCTGTGAACATCTGTGTACCAATTTCTGTGTGGACATGTTTCCTTTTCTCCTGGCTATATACCTAGGAGTGGAATTGCTGAGTCATATCATAATTCTGTTTAACATTTTGAGGAACTGCCAGACTATCTGCCAAAGTGGCTGCACCATTTTAAATTCCCGTAGCAATGAATGAGGGTGCCAGTGTCTCCACATCCTCACCAACATTTGTTACTGTCTGTCTTTTTGATTGTAGCCAACCTAGTGTACGAAGTGGTATCTCACTGTGCTTTTGATTTGCATTTCCCTAATGACTGAAGAACTGACACCTTTGAATTATGGTGTTGGCAAAGAATACTGAATATACCACAGACTGACAGAAGAATGAACAAATCTGTCTTGGAAGAAGTACAGCCAGAATGCTCCTTAGAAGCAAGGATGGCGAGACCTCGTCTCACGTACTTTGGACGTGTTATCAGGAGGGACCAGTCCCTGGAGAAGGACATCATGCTTGGTAAAGCAGAGGGTCAGCGAAAAAGAGGAAGACTCTCAATGAGATGGGTGGACACAGTGGCTGCAACAATGGGCTCAAACATAGCAATGACTGTGAGCACGGTGCAGGATTGGGCAGTGTTTCGTTCTGTTGTACACGGGGTTGCTGTGAGTCAGAACTGACTCGACGGCACCTAACAACAACACAACGATGACCAATGATGTTAAGCATCTTGTCATGTGCTTAATGGCCACTTGTATATCTTCTTTGGAGAAATGTCTACTCAGATCCTTTGCCAATTTTTAACGGGTTCTTTGTCTTTTTATTGAGTTGCGTATGATCCTACTTTCATAAAAAATTCTGTGAGTGCAAATCGAAAGGTCGGCAGTTTGAAACCACCAGTGGCTCTGTGGAAGAAAGATGTGGAAGTCTGCTTCTGTAGAGATTTACAGCCTCAAAAGCCCCATGGGGTTGCTATGAGTTGGAACTGACTCAGTGGCAGTGGGTTTGGTTTTTGGTAATATTAACAATGGTAATTTTTGGAGGATGGGATTTGAAGGTTATTTTGGACTTTTCTGTGTTGCTTAAATTATTTTTAGCATGCAGGTCACTTTCACAAAGTTGACCACATCTACACAAAAGATAAATGAAAACTTGAAAGGGATCAGAGATATTAGCGCTCTAATCTGTAGCGTGACACAGGGCTAATCCCTAAAAATGTGCAAAGACTGGTGAAAGGCATTTAACTGTAACAAAAAACCAAACCAATCCCATCGCTGTCGAGTCGGTTCTGACTCCTAGTGACCCTACAGAACAGAGCAGAACTGCCTCATAGGGTTTCTAAGGAGCAGCTGGTGGATTTCAACTGCTGACCTTTTGGTTCGCAGCGGAGCTCTTTAAAACAGTAACACACCACACTTTCATAATCACTAAAACCCAGCATGCTTTTAAAACATACCTGTTGGAGGAGTCCTGAATCAGAGTCTAAAACACAGGCATCAATCAAAATATTCTGAAATGAACATTTGAAATTATTATAGGAATAACAGCAGTAATGCTTACCTACAATTACACCTACTAAGTGCCAGGCTCTACTCTTAAAATGCTGTAGCTCATTTAATAGGAATAACTGCAAGGGAGATGTGTCATTTGCCTTTCACAGCTGAAGCACCCAGGACTTGGCCATGCTGTGGTCACAGAGCTGGGTGGCAGGGCTGTAAGCCCTGGTCTGCCTGTCTCCAAAACCATGCTCTATCCACTACATTATGTTGCCACTTCAAGCTGGAAAATATTATGCATAACTATGAGAGCATTTTAGGTTAATACTTAAGTTTTAAGAAAGTTTTGGATTTTTTTTTAAACATATCAAAGAAAAAACTGTAATGGCAATAATACATCTGAACATTGCAGTTATCAGCAATGTAAAAACACCAAGTCTTTATAAACCTCACTAAAATAAACAGAAATTGAGGCAAGGTTTATGGAGCAAATTCTGAAATCAGAGTTCTCAGCCTGGGGGCGAAGGATGGGTTAAAACGGCTTACGTGAACACCACGAAACCATGCACAAACCTCTGCCTGATCACACGAGTGTCTGGCACAGGGCTCATCAAAGGACCCCCCATATTCTCAAGGGGTTCAGGACCCAAGACAGAACACAACTGTGAAAACCTGTTGCTGTCGAGTCGACTCCGACTCCTAGTGACCCTGCAGGACAGAGGAGAACTGCCCCGTAGGGCTTCCAAGGCTGTTATCTTTACAGAAAACGACAGCCACATCTTTCTCCCTCGGAGAGGCTGGTGGGTTTGAACTGCTGACCTTTCAGTTAATAGCCAAGCGCTTAACCACTGCAATACCAGGGCTCCTTAAAATGACTACAATAATCTATGAACTATTGAATCCTAAACCACTAACCAGGCTATTTAGTCAAAATACCTTTCTAGGTCAGTCATCCAAACACTGAAACTAATTCCCTCATCATGAAACAAAATATCCTTTAAAAGGCGGGCTCTCGATTCACCTGTTTCTGGGCCGCGAAGATTACATTCATGAAGTTCATATACTGCAATGCACTGTCTTCTGCAGCCTTAATCACCTGAAAAACCGTGTCTATGTTAACACCTCCAGGCACATCCTGATACTCTTACTCAGATGCCACCACAATACACTGTGAACTACACCCAATATCATGTTTTCTAATTTGTTAGCTACTTACCGATACTGTACGATACCTGAAAATATAAAGATGACAGCAGAGATTACCTCCAAACCCCACTACCCAGGCATAATCCTTGTTAATGGTTTAATGATCATCCTTCTACAGAGCATCTATATGACCATGTACTACCCATCCCAAAAATATACACACACAAACCCCCAAAACACATAAACACTCACCCAAAACACACTCACACCCAAAACACACACACACAAAATGCACATGCTCACCCAAAACTCTACTTGTGTCAATGAATTTGGCTGATCTCATCCTTCTTAATGACTTGATAGAGTCCCACATTTAACCAATTATCTCTACAGGACAGTTAAGACAGTTTCCCATTTCTCAGTTTTAAGCAATGCTCTGATGAAAACCGTTCGTACACTTCTCTAATTATATCCTGAAGATAACCAGTGAGGTTGCTGAAGTGTATGCACATTTAATTTTTGTGCAGATCATCAAACTGCCTCCAGAACAGTTATGCCAAAATAAACACTCCCCGATGCAGCTGTCAAACCAAGGCACTGCCAAGTCTTTCATTTTTTCCGAGCGGTAAGCAAACAATGAAAAACTCACTATTTTCCACTTAAACTTCTTTGCTTACTGTAAGGCTGAACATGTTTTTAAATGCTAACTGACCATTCACATTTCTTCTTTGCAGTCTGCTCATGTTTTCTGCCCGTGTTATAGAGTGGAACTTGTCTTTTAAAATTTAACTGGTAAGAGTTCCTCTGTCTGTCACATAGGTATGCTGAAAATATTTTCCTGGTAGTTTTTCTTTCGTCCTTGTTTTGCGATTTTATGGAGTACTAATCTTTCAAGTTTCACATCCTGCTTGGAAAGACATTCAACTCACCATCCCAAGACTGTAAACATATATTTTCTTCTAGCGCTTTTGTGACTTGAATTTTTACATTTAAATCCCTTGAATGTATTCAGGTGTAATTGGTAAGATAGGGATCAGCTTTACATTCTTCCCTAAATAGCCAAACAATTAGCCCAGCCTCTTTCATTGAGAAATACATTTTCTTTCCATTAATTTGAAGACAGTCCTATATCACAAGTCAACTTCCCATACGTACTTGACTTCGAATCTCTTCTGCTCTCTATTTGCCTCTGAGTATTCTGTGCTTTAGAATGGGCTTTGATTCCTAACACAGCAAGTTCTACCTACTGTTCTCGTTTACAAGGTTCCTGGCTATTCTGATTTATTCTTCCAGATCAACTTCTGAATTTCTTTTTTTAAGCACCACCCCCCAACCCTGCCAGAAAACAAAGAAACAAAAAAACAAAACAAAATAAAAACTCACTGATATTCTGAGATTGGACTGAACTGACAGCTTAATTTCACAAAAATTGACATCCAAGAGCAAAATATCTCTATTTATTCAATTCTTGTATGTCTCTCAGAATTTGAAAGTTTTTGTTCATGTCCGTTTTATACATTGCTTGTTAAATTATTTCCATATATGTAATATTTCTTGCTTCAATTGTAAATGGAGTCTTATTTCCCATCATGTTTTCTAATTGGCTGTAGTTGATATATAAAAATAGTGCTGATTTTTAAAATCTTACCAATATCCTTGACTTCATTTCCTGATTATCTATAAAGAGAAATAAAAAGATTACAATTTAGTGGAACCTTTATGAAATACATATATAAGGTTTTCTACCCAATTTTTAAATAGTCCACCATCCTTATGGTGGTTAAGATAAGTAAGATTATAGTTCTCATAGGAAAATGTAGACTCTTACCTTTAACTTCTTTGTTCATTCTATGAATGTCTTATTTTACCAGCATTAAGGAAAAAGAAAAATTCCACTTCATAAATATAGTAAACAGAAAAATAATCTCAAATTTTAGTTAAAAATAAACCCAGCACTCACCTAATAAAAAAAGGAAATGTCCCTTTTTCTGTGATAAACACACAAGCAAGAGTCATCAGGGGTTTCCAGCACTAACTCAGTGCAGCCACTGGGGTCTGTAACCCAAAGTATGATCTTTGTCCCCAAAATTGAAATGATCAACGTGATCGTCCTGTGACTATCCACCAGATCCTAGATTTGAATATGGGGACCACACGTAAATCAACAAGCCAATCAAATGAGGTAACTCTGAATACTATAAAGGTGACCAGACACCCCAAATCATTGTCTAGGACAAAGGAATTACTCAATACTGCCAACGATAAACAAACTACAAAAGACTGAGAGAAGCTCGTACAAACATGGATACAACTGAAATGCTTAGAAAGCTCTTCTTGACCCTGTGCTAAGTGCAAAATATCCCAGTCACCTATGGAGAAGCAGCTACTCGTTTATTAAGCCTCAGGGTCAGAAAATGGCTTTTAAAATCGAAGACTGCTCCTAATTCAAGAAAGATGGGCTAATGCACAATAAACGAATAAATAAGAAAAACCAATCCAATGTATCAAAATAAGAAACAAGGAAACATTCCAAAGCAGCATTCATTGTGGGCAGAAGGACAGACTGGAGAAACTAGTTTTCTATTTCTTCTCATTTCCAGTCTTTACAGTTCATCTTACACATCTCAAAGTCAAGATCAATTATTTTTTGATCGCCCACCACTTTAGGATACTCAGGCCTCCCATTCATGTGGACATGCAAGGTTCTAAGAAATAGCACGAGTTAAGACCTGCTTATTCCAGAAGGAGCAGCCCTGGTGGCACAGTGGTTAAGCACCCAACTGCTTACCAAAAGGTCAGCAGTTCGAACCTACCAGCTGTTGCGTGGAGAAAAGATGTGGCAGTCTGCTTCCGCAAAGATTACAGCCTTGCAAACCCTATGGGGCAGTTCTACTCTGTCCTACAGAGTCGCTATGAGTTGGAACCGACTCAATGGCAATGAGTTTTTCATTACAGAAGATACCGCCACGATGATTAAAGCAAAAAGGATACAGCAGAGGGCTTTGGCAAGGGACCCTGCCAGCAGAGTTTCCATGTGTTGACCCTTTATGTCACCTGCAAACAATAACAACATTAAAAAGGAAATTTTTAAGTACTTGCTTAATCTGAAATCATTTTCAAACCATTCTTCTCCATGAATGAAATCAAACAATGATATTTCAAACTGGTTTTTAAAAGCATACTGAATAGAAAGCAGAGACTCAAACAGATACTTGTACACCAGTGCTCACAGCAGCACTATTCACAACAGCCGAAAGGTAGAAACATCCCAAGCTTCCGTCAACAGGCGAATGGATAAACCAAACGTGGTACATCCATAGAATGGAGTATCATTCAGTCAGTACGAGGAATGAAGTCCTGACACATGCTATGAGGTGGAGGAACCTTGAACACACGATGCTTTTTAGAACAACAGCCTTGCAGGCTGTGTGGAAGGACTTGAATGGGGAGAGACAGGAGTCAGAAGAGCAGTTAGAAGTTGTTGGAATCACCTAGAGCCGCAACTTTCAGCCTGGGGAGTTTTGGCCCCCGGGGGACATTGGGCAATATCTGAAGACATATTTGGTTGTCACAACTGGGAGGGGTGCTACTGGCATGTAGTGGACAGAGGCCAGAGACACTACTCAGCATCCTGCAATGCACAGAACACGCCCCACGAGAAAGAATCATCCTGCTCAAAATGCCAGTCATGCAGAGGCTGAGGAAGCCCCGACCTGGACGACAGATAATAAGGGTTCAGACTTTGGAGACATTTCTGATGCTAAATTGGTAGGATTTCACAGCTGATTGGATGCTGGATGTGAGGAGAAGGAGTCAAAAAAAGGGGAAAGCTCTGAACTTGGAAAATTAGGTGGGTGAGGATGACAGAAATAGGGGCTGGAAACAGTGATATTGTTGGGGGAAAAGGTAATGAAAAGGAGCTTGGGGCACGTTAACTTTTAAGAGCCTGTAGGGCTCCTAAGTGGAGATGTTTGCAGCTATAAAGAAAGGCTGGTCTTAGAGACGTAGATTGGGAAGTATTTGTATATAAATGATTACTGAAGATGAGAGTGGGTGCGGACATTCAGAGAAAGAAAATAATGTGCAAAATAAAACATATTTTGAGGGATAAGATCAAGGAAGAGCCAGAAATAGAAACTAAGAAGGAATGATCCAGAAGAGGAAAAGCAGGTCAACAGGATGTCCTGAGAAGCCAGAGTACATTTCAAGGAAAGGCTGGTCAACAGTATCAGACGCCACAGAGGTCAGGCAAACAACACACAGGCTTTAATGAAGACAACTGTTACAAAGGAAACAGAGAATATCCTAGTAGATAGTATTTAAGAACCTCAAATCTGTGGATTTAAACCCTGAAGGGCCTTCAAATGGAACTCCTTTTGCAAAATAACAATATGAAAAAAGTAAATAAAAGCTATTACTCGTGGTCATTAGGTCTTTGATCTCTTCAGCAATAACTTCATTTGCTGCTGTTAACAGCTCATATTTTCCGTCTTTACTTCCTGACGGATTAAACTCAGAAGGAGGGTTGCCGGCTTCTCCGAAGAAGTCTCCCAGCCTGCCATTCTTTCCAGGATATAAGAATCGACTAAAACGGAGAGGGGAAAAAAAAAAACCTAGTTACACCTCGACTCACCGCCCTCACCCAACAGCAAAATGAAATTCATCAAAGAAAACAAACAAAAATCACGCCCATTCTGGACTTCTAAGATTTGATAATAAATTTCATTTTGTACAAGTGCGCAAAAGAGGCAAAGTGGCAAACTCGAGTCTACCGCCACAGAACGTCTGAGTGGTTCCAGTGTTTTCTAGAAAATGAGAGAAAATAAAAAAGAGTATTGGGTTACAGTTTCCCACTGTGCAGCAGGGTACTCCCTGCTCTACTCTCTCAAAGGACAATCCAAAGAGATTGATCCCAAATTCTAGCTCACCACTAGTTTATTCTCCAAGATACACATTATCTACTCCAGTAGTTACAGAAACCTGGTCCGAGGGCCCCTGCAAAGGCTCTCCTAGTGCTTTGTGACTCCTGTAATCATCACACAGAGGACACTTTTGATAAAAAACAGAAGCTCTATCTGTTAGAGCTTCTGCTGATATCCTAACCAAAATGACGCCATCTTTTCACTCGGTGCTGATTAAAACATATGGTGGTGATGGCAGTGGAGCACGGGAACAGTGGCCCATGGGCTCGTTCGCCCCACCAAAGGAAGTAGCCCAGAGAACCAAGAAAACTGGAGAACCATCCATGAACCGCATATGAAATACATTGGTAAACAAGTCACTTCTACTGCCATGTGACATTTAATCGAGATATAGAAAAGCTGTATCTTACATGGGGATAGATTCTACATGAGTACATGACGTGACAAGCAAGCATGATCAAAGTTATTCATAAACCCTTTACGTACAGGTCCCTGGGTGGCACAGACAGTTTGTGCTCAACTATTAGCTTAAAGGTTGGCAGTTTGAACCTACCCAGAAGGCCTGGCTATCTGCTTTCATAAACATTACATTACAGCCAAGAAAATCCCAGGAGCAGTTCTACTTTGTAACACATGGGGTTGCCATGAGTCTGAATCGACTCGATGGCAACAGGTTGGATTTTGTTCTGGTTTTTTACTGTATACACGGCCATATTTACAAATCAGGTGCAGACCTGCGTACCATCCTGCAGTTAGTCTAACACAGCCAGTGTTTACAGCAGTGCTGGAAAAGACCACAGTTCTTCAGCTGAGCACTAGATGGAGTCACTGGCTTGGCTGTAGGAGCTGATGTTATGAGAAAAATTCGTATTCCTAAATACCAGATCACACGAAGAGCAGTGAAAGAGTCCCACCACGTGAGGTACGTGGGAGTTAAGACTGGGTGAAGGGAAACAAGAATGATATCTCCCACTGTGCTCTCACTCCAGGGCAGACACCTAATGAAAGGGTGCTGATGGGAGCTGCCTGCCATCCCATAGTTCTTGCTCTCTTTTTGCTTTGTGAACATAGTTGAATCCGTGGCAGTTAAACGTACATACAACTTCACTGTATATTAACTAGCAAGGTTTTTGATATTCGTGTTGTTATTAGGTGCCGTCGAGTCGATTCTGACTCACAGCGACCCCATGTGACACAGCAGAACCGCCTCCTGGAGTTTGACACTGCCTGTAATCTCGACTCCACCACGACGCCTCTCAGCGTTCACACTTACTAACAATGGGCACGTGCTGACTCCCGATGCTGTGGCTGTTATTCACACATACACGGGTTTTCTTCTTTGCAACACAGAGTACAAACAGTGCCAACTGGCACCGACAACTCACAAACATTGAGCATTAAACAGGAAGGGTGGTGACAGTGGCCGTACCTTTCGTGAATGTGACTTGCTATCACAGCAAGTCGGTTGGAACGGTTCATGAATAAATGGGAATTTCCCAACACCATCACAGCATCTATGCATTTTGATAAAGTGAACTGTGGGAAAACGGAAGACATTAGAAAGATAAATTAGCGATCCAAATAACTATGTCAGGCCTTGAAATGGGAAGAGACAATCACAATTATTCATTGCTAAAAATGTGTCCAGGAGCTACCCTCCTCCAAAACCATTAGCCAAAACCCTTGAAAACTATAGCCCTCATTTCACTCACGTGAGATCTTTTCTATGTCAGCAAAATATCCCAAAAATATTTTTTGCGTAGCGTTTAGGGAATAACAAACGTCTCGTGTCTTCTGTGCTGAAATTACTAGCTAACTATCACTACACATGGAGTAGATACTTACTACATACATGATGTACAATGTAATACTTGATGATACTGGTGATTCCTAAAAATGTTCAATTTAGTCATTCACTAAACATGCAAAGATCACTTCTCTCACGGAGCTTACGTTCTCACAATTATAACGTTAACTGTCCAAGTAGTTTTGGTACATGCTTTTTATCAAGCTGAGGAAGTTCCCTTCTATTCTTAGTTTGCTTTGATGGCGCAGTGGTTAAGCGCTCAGCCACTAACCAAAAGATTGGCAGTTCGAACCCACCAGCCACTCCTCGGGACAAGTATGTGGCAGTCTGCTCCTGTAAAGACTACAGTCTTGGAAACCCTATGGGGCAGTTCTACTTTTTCCTATAGGGTCACTATGAATTGGAATTGACTTGATGGCAAAGGATTTGGTTTGGTTTTCTCTTTTTGGTCATGGCATGTAATTCTTTGTATATATTGCTGGATTTGATTTGCTAATGTTTTTTGAAGATCTTCTGCATCTACGTTCATGAGTTTTCTTTCTTTTGTATTGTCTCTGTCTGGTTTTGGTGTAAAGGTAATAGTGACCTTGTAAAACGAGCTGGCAAGTGTTCCTTCTTCTTCTGTCTTCTGGAAGAGATTACACAGAATTGGTGTTACCTCTTCAAACGTTTGGCAGAATTCTCCAGTGAAACTATCTGGGCCTGGAGATTTAACACTAATTCTACATAATCTCTTCCAAAAACAGAAGTGAAAAAAAAATCTATATATGGAATCAATATATGAAATGTTCAGAAAAGACAATACGGAGACAAGAAGCAGATCAGTGGTTGCCAGCAACGTGGGGTGGAAGGAGAGATGGACTGCACACAGGCACAGTGGAACTCTGTGGGGTGATGGAAATGTTCTAAAAGGGATTGTGGTGGTGATTAATGTACTAAAAAAATCACTGACTTGTAACTTATCATGGGTGAAATTTATGGTATGTAAATTATACCTTAATAAAGCTGTTTTTTGTTAAAAAGCAATATAAACATATTCTCAGTTAAACCAGAATTATCCAAAGGCTTCCTTAAACAGTCTTACCTGAGATCCTTTTAATGCTTGCTTTCCCCACCAAATTGGGTTGGTATCAACTATGATTACTAGAAGATTCAATTCATCTTCTGAAAATATTAACAACAACAACAAAAAAATATTAGTCTCATAAAAGTGAATCACGGCTAACATTCCCAATTAGTGCGGTAAATCCAGAGCAAGTACCAATACATGCCTTTAAATGTTTATCATCCTACCACCATGATATTCACAGAAGGCCAAATTCTTGTAAAGATTTAAAGCTTAGTGGGTCCTGAGCAAGCTCTCGCCTGCTTTCTGTACCACTGCACCTTCCCTCTCTTCCTCCTCCAAGTTGCTGTGTTTTCTTGTATCACAGGAGTAAAAGGTTTGACAAACTCAAGGACCAAAAGCAATGCTACCTCTTCCTTCCAAAAGCCTTCCCCAGGTCTTCCAGCAGGAGGTCCTGGCTCCCTCCTCTCAGGGGAGAGGGAACGCCAGCCTTCTCTGCACCAGGCATTGGCATATGTACTCCCATAATCCTGTTTTATCCTAAAAACAACCCAACAAGGGACATATGAATGCTGTCTTTCATCAATTACAAGGCATTCCCTTTTTTTTTTTTTTTTTACATTTAACTCAGGATGGTATCTTACTATTAAAATTGACAGCATGTTTTTTCTCTCAGTGGTACATAAAATAACAGCACAGTTTATAATTCATGTTGTCTTAGATTACATGAAATACAGTATTCCTATTTTACAAATAAAAGTAAGTTGCCCAAAGTCACATGGCCTTCTGGCCAGTGGCAAAGGCAAGGCCCTGCTGTGAAGACAGCTCTGCTTGACTCTGAAGACTGCAGTTTTTCATTGCCCCACAGCTTGACTCTGCCCATCGGCCACACCAACAGACACTCTTCTAATGACACTCAGCTCTCACTACCTCATGTTACAGTTAGTTGTGCGTTTCTCATCTCTCTTCCCAGTCCTGACACCTAGACTGTGGAGTCCTTAAAGAATGATTTTTGCTACTCCTGGGATAAATGAAATAATAAGTGTAAATCATGCAGTAAAATGCCTAGCACGGAAGCAGCACTTTAATAACTGCCTCTCCCACAGGCCTTCTCTCTTCTACCCATAAGCCCTCAAGCCTTATCCCCCAACAGGCCCCACCTTACAATTCTCAGAACTACTGGTTCCTTGATATTACCAAGACAGCCTGAGAAAAAGACAAGTGTGTTGCCTGTGTGGAGAGTTATGTGTATCAGTACATCTGAAATGTCCCTGTGAACATTCTTCTTTGGGTCTCCACCTCCTCATCTGTAAATAGGGCCAACAAAGCCAGGACTGCCCACCTCACAGGGATGTGGTGTAAACTGAAACAGATAAAAGAAGCATGGACAATTTTTACAGCCTCAGAATGGGTCTCCTTATTTCTACTCTTGCTCCCACAGTCCATTTCCTACACAGCAGCCAAAGTGATCTTTTAAAAATGTAAATCAGATCATAACATTTCTCTGCTTGGGTATGCATCACACTTAACACTAAAGTTACAAGGCCCTGCATTCTCTGGCACCTGGCAGCTCTCTGGTCTCATCCTCTTCCACTCTTCCTCTAGTTCACTTTGCTCCAGCCACCCTGGTCTCCTTTCTCTTCCTCTAAGACATCAGGCTCCACAACTGGCAGTTTAGTGTATGAATAAATGCCTCCCCACCTTCGCTATCACGTTTCCCCATTTCTGTCTTCTCCGTAATGTGGTGTCTCGACCTGCCACAAGGCCTTTGCACTTAGAATGCACTCCCCCAGGAACTTCGCAGAGTAGTCGACCAAGCCGTAATCTAAACATCATGATCTTCCCCGAACTATGTGCAGTAGCTCTTGCTCCCTCATCCACTAAGCACAATCTACCACATTATCCTAACATACTGTCTTCCTGGCTCTTGTCATCCTTTGAAATTATCTTTATTTACTTGCTTATTGCCTGTCTCGCCCACTAGAATACAACGCCCTGAGAGCACAGACCTTGTCTATCATGTTCTCTGCTGTATCCCCCGCACACAAAATAATGCCTAGCACTCAGTAGGTACTCCATATTTACTGAGTGAACGAATGAATGAATGCATTCGCTACTCCTCTAAACACCAAATACGTCTCACCCAGCCCAAAAGCTACACTCCATTTCGCCGGTCATAGCCGGGCAGAGTCTGCCCAACCCCAGGGCAACTCTCACCGTCTGAGACCATGGCAGCCTCCGCGCAGCGCCAGCGGCTATCAGGGAAGCGTCGGGAATCGGCCAATTCCGACTTCCGGCGCCGCCCAGTGACGTAAGGACTGGTTTGGCCCGGTCCGCGCCGTACTCGTGGTCACGCCCCCGGCGCGCCGGAAATAGGGTGCAGAGTTGCGCCGCGCGCTGTCAGTCTCAGTGGCTCGGGGCCGGCACAGTTGCGGGTTCCATCGTGCAGCGCGGGTGCCTCCGGTCTTCTCGGGCTTTGCTGTTGGGAGCGCACCATGGACAAAGACGGTAAAGCGGGGCTGGGCAGGCGGGGGCCACTGAGCCTCAATCGGGGCGGGGTCCCCCACCTCGTACACCCAGACTGGGCACTGAGAGAGGTCGCTTTCCAAGTTCAGGCGGCTCTGCAGGATGTGCTTCCTCTACTAAAAGCTACGTTTCTCTCACTGCTCCTGTATGTAGGGGATGGGCCCTGAGAGTGTCTTCCCATGTCCATCCTCCAAAAAAGTGAGACTTCGGACGAAGTGTGCAGGCCTTCTAAGCCTCGCTTTGTTCATGTGTGAGATAGGAATAATACTCCCTGCTCTACTGGATCTGTTACAATCTAAAGAGTAAGGCACAGTTGACGTACTCGTCTAATACGGTTTTAAAGGTACTTTATTAAGTGAAAAACAAGGAGCAAGCTATTGTATAAAGTACCTTTCCTGTAAAAAAAAATAATAATAAAGGGTGGTGGAACTGTGCATACACATATATGTATGTGCCTGTGTGTGTGTATGTGCTTGAATTAGCCTAGACTGTCCTTGGAAGGATGTAGAAGAAACTGGTAATGGTGGTGGAGTCGAAATCCTCCCAGGACTTGGGGTCAAGGAGAGGAGAGAGAATGACTTTTCACTATCATTTAGCAGAGCTTGAATTTTATACCATTGAACATGGACATCCTTTTCAAAATGAGAGAGGAAGAAAGAAAGCTTGCAAACAGTAAAGTGGCGTCTTTTCAGTTCCCATTAACATTTGCTGTGCCCCTGAAGTTTGCGTATAGCCAAAGCCTTGAAAAGAAAGTATTTCTAAAATTACTTTGTTTCCTAATATTGTTACTGTTGGGTGCCATCGATTGGATTCCAACTCGTAGTGACCCCATGTGAGAGGAGAACCGCCCCACAGGGTTTTTAATATTGTAATCTTTATGGGAGCAGATCTCCAGGGCTTTCTCCTGGGCAGCTACTGACTGGGTTTGAACCACTAACCTCTTGGTTAGCAATTGAGCGCTTAACCACTGTGCCACTGGGGCTCCTTTTTCCTAAGGTTAACAGTTAGTAACAGTGTCTCTTTTTTTCTCCTTTCCCAGAGTTAATTGAATACTTCAAGTCTCAGATGAAAGCAGATCCTGACATGGCTTCAGCAGTGGCTGCCATCCGGACTTTGCTGGAGTTCTTGAAGAGAGACAAAGGTAGACGAAGAGCATCCTCAAATGTACTGGGCCTTAGGAAAGTCTTCTGATAGCTCTTAGAAGTGTAGGAAGTGAGAGATGTATGTGTGCCTCCATAAGGTCTTAAGCTCCTAGCTCACTTTCTTCTTTCATTTAAGCTTTCCTTTTAACCTGGAGAGAGTCCTTAAGGTATCATCAGAGGGCCCCCCTCACGTTTTTGTTTCATTCTTGAGTACTGACAATTTTATTTATTTCCAATTTTTCTATTTTTTTAAATTTTTTGTTGTTGTTGTTGCTGAGAATATACACAGCAGAACATATACCATTTCAGCAATTTATGCATGTACAATTCAATGACATTGATTACATTATTCCAGGACATTCTCTCTAGCACCTGCACAGAATCTGGCACAGGGTATATGCTCAATAAACATTTGTAAAGCTGAAGTATTGCTAAATTTTAAACTTCACAGTTCACTCAATATAGTAGTTACTCTGACAGAAAGGATATTTTACTTATAAAACGGGGTCCCTTTGCCACTGAGTTTATAGTAATGGGGGAGGAGTAATTCAGAAAAGGAGGGTGAGAATGGTTGTACAACTTGAAGAAATTCTGGCATTAATGTCATTAACTGTGATGTGTTAATTCAGGCATCCTCACTGTAAGTACTGGGGTATAGCATGACATTAAAAAGCCCTCAAAAGGGCTGACCTGAGATGCATGTCTCTAAGACAGTCTCCAATGTCTTCCCCTTGTCCTTACAATAACATCCAAATACCTGGGCTTCACCTCCACCACCTTGCGTACCTCCTCTCCCTCTGCTACCTAACTTCCTTCCATCCTGCCCCAATCTGAGCTGTGCTTCAGCCACACTGCCCTCTCCTTGTCTCTCATGCTAAGTTTGTGCCCGTCTCTGGGACTTTGCATTCTGATAGTCTACACCTGGCAACTTTCCCACTAGTTCTTTATGGGGCTGGATCCCTCGTTAGTCTGATTTCAGTTTAAATGGCCCCCATTTCAGGAGGCCACCCCTGTTGTTGTTGTTAGGTGCCGTCACGTAAGTTCCAACTCACAGTGGCCCTATGTACAACAGAATGAAACACTGCCCGGTCCTGTGCCATCCTCACAATTGTTGTGATGCTTGAGCCCACTGTTGCAGCCACAGTGTCAGTCCATCTTGTTGAGGGTCTTCCTCTTTCACTGACCCTCTACTTTACCAAGCATGATGTCCTTCTCCAGGGACTGGTTCCTCCTGATAACATGTCCAAAATACGTCAGACAAAATCTGGCCATCCTCATTTCTAAGGAGCATTCTAGTTGTACTTCTTCCAAGACAGATTTGTGCGTTCTTCTGGCAGTCCATAGTGTATTCAATATTCTTCGCCAACACCATAATTCAAAGGCCTCAATTCTTCAGTCTTCCTTATTCTTTGTCCAGCTTTCATGTACATACAAGGCAACTGAAAACACCATGGCTTGGGTCAGGCACACCTTAGTCTTCAAGGTGACATCTTTGCTTTTTAACACTTGCAAGAGGTGTTTTGCAGCAGATTTGCCCAATGCAATGTGTTGTTAACCCTAAAGTAGTAGCCCCACCGTTCTCATCATTCTGCTTTTTTCTGTCCCCATTACAGTCTGTAATTAATTTGTTTATCTGTGTGCTTGGTTATTGTCTGCCTCCCCCACTAGAAAGGGAGTTCCCTCAGAACAGGGACCCCATACATCTTGTTTGCTGATGTATCCCCAGCATCTAGAGAATCCCGGCTTAGTGTCTGCACCCAGTAAAGATTCGCTGAGTGAATGAATCTCAGTCTCAACAAGGGGCTGCAGTGCTAAAAACAACATCACATTCCTCGTGTGGTCATTCCAGGGGAGACGATCCAGGGCCTGCGAGCCAACCTCACCAGTGCCATAGAAACCCTGTGTGGCGTGGACTCCTCCGTGGCCGTGTCCTCTGGCGGGGAACTCTTCCTTCGTTTCATCAGCCTGACCTCCCTGGAGTACTCGGTAAGCCCTGCCCTCCTGTGTCCCTGTTTGCTAACAAATAAACATTCTCTCCCCCCTCTCATGTTGCTCTTTTCTCCCTAGGATTACTCCAAATGTAAAAAGATCATGATTGAGAGGGGAGAACTTTTCCTCAGGAGAATATCACTGTCAAGAACTAAAATTGCCGATCTGTGCCATACTTTCATCAAAGACGGGGCAGTGAGTAGATGTCTATCATGTGGGGTAATTAGCAGCCAGGGCTCTGGAGTCAAACTGCCTGAGGTAAAATCCTGGCTGTGCCACTGACTTGCTCTGCAACCTTGGGCATGTTCCTGAACCGCTCGGTGCTGCTATTTTCACCAATGTTAAGGGTAATAACAGTACCTACCTCATAGGGTTGTAAGGATTAAGTGAGTTAGTATGTGTAAAGGGCTCGGGACTCTGCCTGGCACATCTGCCTGGCACATAGTAAGCTCTCTATAAATGTAGATGGTTATCATAAACAGGAGCCCTGGTGGCACGGCTGTTGGTGGCTCGGCTGCAAACCCAGAGATTGGCAGTTTGAACCCACCAGCCGCTCTGTAGGAAAAAGATGTGCCAGTCAGCTTCTGTAAAGATTTACAGCCTTGGAAATCCTATGGGCACTTCTGCTCCGTCCTGTAGGGTCGCTGTGTGTCGGAATCGACTCGACAGCCATGGGTTTCATTAAAAACAGGCTGAGAAAAATCCTGGGATAGCATGGAGGGTTCTGGATTCAGTGTTTTTCACTCGAGCCCAGTGGTGCAGTGGTTAAGTGCTCGGCTGCGAACCAAAAGGTCGGCAGTTTGAATACACCAGCTGCTCCTTGGAAACCCTATGGGGCAGTTCTACTCTGTCCTATAGGGTTGCTGTGAGTTGGAATCGACTCAACGGCAGAGGGTTTGGTTTTTTTGGTTTGCTCAAGAAGTATCTTTATTACTGGACCCATACTAAGTTAATCTGATTTAAATCAGCCCAGAACAGCTCTTGTTTCGGGTTAATACTGAACATTCTCCCAGTGCAGAGTAGCACTGGATTGAGGTGTTCTTTTTAACTTCATTTCCAATATTACTACAGAGATGCAAAGCCGCCGAGCATTTGCGTTGAGTGAGGAAAGGCCGGAGCTGCAGGTTGAGCCCGTCTCCCCACAAAGGGCCAATAAAGCTTTTATAATGCCTCTCCCACCAAGAGAAGTCCTTTTTGCCGCCTGAGCCTCCACTGACCACAAAATTACTGACGTGCATTCGACCTTTAAGTCTTGTCCTATTTTTTACCCTTTTCCCAGCCTTTGAAGTACAATGTTAAATAAATAATGTAAAAGATGTGAGCAAAACTTGTACAAACGACAGTTGCAAACAAAGCTGTTTTGGGGCCAGATAGAGGCCGGTGAGGACGGCCTGTCCCCGAGGCCTCCCCTCTGCAGTCAGCACGCCGTCGCTGCTCCGCAGGCTCGTTGGCTACAGTGGCGTTTTGTGTGCACACCACCTGCATTAGCACCAACTCAGGCTGTATTTAGAGCAGAGCTGGAGTCACTAGGGGGGTGCAAACAGCT